TCGCCATTAAACCTTTCTCGACAGAGGTAATAGGAGCAGAGTTGACTACATCCCAATAACCATCCAGAATCAGGGCATTTCTTGCCCTCGGCTCCCATTGCGGGTAGTCGGCGATCGACTCCAACTTCGGGACCCGCTTCGATTGTTCGGCCATTTCGCAAATCCGGCTGTATGTAGCCTCCCTGCCTGCAGCCAGGCTCAAATGTACCAGAGCCGCTCTTATCCTGAGACTGCAATCCCGCAGTTGGCTGGTTCCGGCAGACCGCGACACTATCCTTGCGCGGGGCTCATAACCTGAAAAACTAAGCAGCGAATACAGAGCGATCACCTCGTTATACGTTACATAGGTCTGGGATTAGAGCGAGGATAAAAGGCAAGACCCTGCCATAAATACAAAGTGTATCTCGGAAATCCGCTCCAGAACCAGTACAGGTATCCCGCCAAACTACGATATGCAGGAGTTCTGGACGAGATATCAACACCTTTACGTTGAAGGACGCCGATGACGTGCTCCTTCAAGAGGTGAAAGGTGCTAATGGAGAAATAAAAATCCTCCTTATCTATTTTCATCCTTGCCTACAGCTAAGTCCGCACACAGCAGAAAAAGGCACCACCGGGCAAACGGATGACCGCACGCTAAAGCGCGGGGCTCATAACCTGTTAGAGATAAGAGTCCTTCAGTGAACACATCACTCGCTCATATCGTTACACAAGGAGAGAGAGAGAAAGGATACGCAAGCAGTATATAAGCATACCGTAGCCAATCCTGATCCGATGTCGTATTGGGATAACGGCAACTAATCAAACTACCGAAGTGTCAAGCCTGAGTGTACCTAAGAGCACTTTCCAACAGCTCGTCATGTCGCCGTGCAGCGAGCGTCAGCGGAATTTCTAAACACGGTCGGCTGTCCGCAAACACCATGTGCTTTTGTCGGCCACACCTTGCTTGTTAGAGTCACTTAACGAGTTGAAAGTTATGGATATCCTCCGCAGAAAACTTGCAGTCCTCATCTCATTATAACGATGATTTCCGTCTTACTACCCTTCTTAGTACCACCAGTAAGCGATGGCTGGCGCGAAGGCTCGCGCGGCGCGCGGCTGTCCGGCTCCAAACTGCGACCCACACGCGCGCGTCGAAGGACTACCGCTACTGAAGCAGTGCATGGCGCAGGTCAAAGTTGCCGTTGCGTTAACTGTATGGTTATGTACTATTTTAGCATCCTCCAGCATGAGTCCTTCGGAAGCTCACATGCATGTTCGGGCGGACTATCCAATGCTATACCTTACGGTACTTGTTTAGAACCGTTTGATTGAATTAATTCTATGTTATGCCATATACTGTATAGATTTTCTGACGAAACCCATCATCATTATTAAATGCAAAAGGTTCGCGTTTCATCGCAGTAGTGGGCTTGCTTGCTTGTTTTAAAGATTTCGACGTATGCCTAGCTTGTTGGAAGTCTATGTGGTTAGCCTTGTGAATTGTAATCCTGTTGCCAGTTATTGCCTATAGAATGTGCGTGCAGCGGGACGAGCGCAAAGTACTTCTCGATCCGACCACCAGCTGGATGATCCAGCGTAGCCCATCATTTATTGTATTCCCTTGAAACTGTAGAGCAACTGTCACTTATTTGCTTGGCTGGTCAGGTTGGTCCGAAACGCTTGCCGCAGTGTACTAAGTGCAACTCTTAAACATCGACTACATTGATCCGAATGCTTTAGATTAATTACTGAAGTAGATAGCTGGCCTGTAATCGCTGTGCAGACGACCCTTGCAGGCAACTGCCACTGTCCATGATGGTGGGCCCACCTGTAAGCCTGGTCTATCCAAAGCCGTTTTTTTTATGAAATGGAAATTCTACTTTGTAGCTGTGTACATCGGTGATTTGGGACAGCTCGTTCAATTCGCTTCGACAACCGTCAACATCAGGTCTACACGGGCGTAGTTCTGCAGATCTATAGCAGCAACCTTCAAGGACTTCTGGAAATGCTGGGTAGATCTTGTCAAGTTTCGGCGGCCCGCAACAAAATGTGCATCACGCGATGTTTCGCATGCACTTCAGCAATGCTGCTGCCCTTGGTCCTCTTCTTACTGACAGCTGTTGCTCCTACTGCCAGCCAATCAGACCCAGCTGCAACTCCGCCGCCTGATGTGACGAAAGGAACTCCGAAACGGCCTTGTCCAACCTACGTGCCAACATGTCAACGGTTCACCCAAACAGTGTCAGCCATTAACTGCATAGCTTTTATCAATCAGAATGGCATTAGCATCCAGCAGCTTGTACATTACAACCCGGATATTGAATGTAGTGTGAAAATTCCTTCGGGTTGTGCAATTTGCATCGGTGTTGCCGCAGACCCTCCACCACCACCACCGCCACCGCCCCCCCCTTCGGACTATTACTATTGGTGGCCCCCACCATACGAATGGCCCCCTTATGAGCCACCCCCACCACCACCACCGCCGCCGCCGCCAGTGCCGCCACCACCGCCGCCGCCACCACCACCATCGCCAGGGCCACCACCACCACCACCGCCGCCGCCGCCACCGCCAGGGCCGCCACCACCACCGCAGCAACCCGACCTTCCCCAGTCACCAGCAGCGCCCCCTCGAAAGCGACAGAGGCCACCCCCGCCTTCGCGGATCTCGCCGCCACCTCCGCCAACACCTCGCGGTCCTGCACCTGTGCCGCCCAGGCCGCCCCCACCGCGCCCTTCTCCACGTCCGCCACCGCCTCGCCCTCCTCCACCACCACCTAGCCCTCCACCCCCCCCACCCCCACGGCCTCCACCTCCACCGTCCTCTAGATCTCCACCTCCACCACCCCCACGGCCTCCGCCTCCACCACCACCTAGCCCTCCACCTCCACCACCCCCACGGCCTCCACCTCCACCACCACCTAGCCCTCCACCTCCCCCACCCCCACGGCCTCCACCTCCACCACCACCTAGCCCTCCACCTCCACCACCCCCACGGCCTCCGCCTCCACCGCCACCCAGCCCTCCACCTCCACCACCCCCACGGCCTCCGCCTCCACCGCCACCCAGCCCTCCACCTCCACCACCGCCCAGACCACCGCCCCCAAGTCCTCCACCGCCGTCCCCAGAACCCGGGGCCCCCGTAGGGCCTGAATCGCCAGGCAGGCCGCCAAGATCCTCCCCCAGACCTCCTCCTCTGAGCTCTCCACCAAGCCCTCGACCTTTCCCACCAAGCCCCCGGTCCCAAGCACCATCGCCGCAACCGCCACCACCAACGCCCCAACCACCTCCACCATCGCCCCAGCCGCCGCCACTAACGCTCCGATCCCCACCATCGCCACGCCCTCGGCCCCCACCACCGCTACCAAGCCCCAGATCGACACGACCCCCCGGTAATGCCCCACGGACCCCTAACATCCCAGAGCCTCCATGGGCTCCCGACCCCCCTTTGCTGCTGTCCATACCGCCCAGCCCGCCACCCCCACGTCCTCCGAAACCACCCAGCCCGAGGCCGCCATCGGGGCAGTCAACGGGGACCCTGCCGCTCACACCACCTTCCCCACGGCCCCCACCGCCTTCACGTCTGCCGCCGATGCCGCCGGGTACATTGAGGCCGCCCAGCCCGCCGCCGCCGTCCCCCAGGCCTCCACCGCCCCTGCCACCCGATCTGGACCCTTCCGTTGACCCGTCCAGTCCTTGGTGAGATTGAGATCTTAAATCCATCTAAAACCTAACAGGTTATTTCTGAGAATTATATAACCTTTTGGATACGAGTATTTAGTATTATGACTGCATGACTGTTCGAAATGATTTCCCCGAGGGCCCAATCTTTCACTTGCAACGATACTGTCTGTACAGCTGTCGTACGAATGTATGTACTGCACGCCATGTCCTGCAGGTACGTGGATGTACAGGCCACGCTAGACCGCCATAACCAGTATCGATCATGGCACCAGGCGCCGCCCCTGGCCTGGAGCTCAAGGCTACAGTCGGCAGCCCAAGAGTGGGCGGATAACTGCTGGTGAGTATCCCCACAATAGAAAATAAAACTGTGTCACAGAAAGCGTATATATTCAGCGTGACCGATTCCGCCTTCCCTCTTGCTTGTATGTTCTGGGGAGCCGAAAAGGCACGAAGGCCCGTTGTGCATGGACGATAGTCCGATAGACGACTGTTGGTGCGAATCCGACAGAGAAAGCGGATAGTTACATTGGACCCCCTGACTAGGCTGTGTTTGACCGTAGACTTCAGACTTTATTGGGAAAGCAGACTGCACGGCGGCTCAAAGAATGTAGGGTCCGACAGAGGACAGACAGACAGACAGGGTTAAATCACGCAAGACCGATGGCCTCCCCTGGAAAGCTCTCCTGTCTTCGGGATGATACCTAAATAAAGCTGTTGGGAAATACAGCCTAGGAGTAATATAATACATATATTAGTATTATATAATAATATATAATAATTTAATTCTACAGATGATAATAAAGAAGGTAAATATGAAACGAAAGATGGCTTGAGAGGGCAAATACACCCAAACATATTCTTACACAACCGACTGCTAACCGACGCATATACCGCCACAGTGGATTGGCTTCCCGCTATCGCCAGCAGTAGCAAAGAAAACATTAAAAGTCTTGACTACACACGCAGGATAGGGGGGACATCGCGTTGTTGAGTTATGCATTGTTTCCTCCTGTTACATCACGACTTCAGAAAAGTACACCGATCGCTGGATGCAGATCCCGTGATGGTGATGTGCCCCACAGGATATTACACCCTGAACCTGTGGGTAGTAGGTAATAAAACACACCTAGCCCCAGATAGACCTCAAAAGGGAATGAATATGTTTCCCAGCAGGGTGGTAGAGGGCCGTCGATCGAGGGCCACAACGGACTGACCGTACACTGCAATGCACAGGGAATCCGTCCAGATGAATCCGTCCGAGAACTCACACGTTGAACCTGAGGGCGTGGGGGAATGCCACGGGGGCCCCGTCAGCAGATGATAAATAAGTACGCAACCGGGAAGCCGGTTGTGTAGGTTGCTCCAGGGAGGGGTACTTTGCGCCACAACTCTCCCCACTGTAACCACCACACACACACACACACCTCCCCACTGGCCCGCTGGGCCGCTGGCTCTATCCACTCTTCACGAGTCTGGAGCCCACTGCTCCAACAACCACACACATGATAACCGCCCCTGTTTTCATGTGGTGCCGTTGGCCTGTTGACCGGTGTCGTGTGTTGTATAAGATGAACGAAAGGACGGCAAAGCCGTTACCGCTGCCTCACCCAACCGTTATAACCGTTACCGTTGATGCCAACCAATTCAATGGAACAGGTTTGAGCGAAGTGGGACTGCATATGGAGAAAATCTGGCGCTTGGGCATCCGAACTTACTAACAGCGATTGATGGGTGGTAAGTAATACAACTTATTAGGCAAGGATTACTGAGTACTTTTTAATCAGTAGTGCAGGGCGGCACGAGACACGGGGTTTCACGACGGGTAGGCAAATGTACGGATGTGTACGGAGTTTGTGGATGTCTGGTATGGAAAAATGCACACCAGAAGGCCACCAGACGCGTGATGTGCTCGCAATCTCGACTTCGGACGACCCCACGCCACATTTCTAACGCTAAGAACAGTTGCCGGGACGAATAACAAACACACAGGTGAACAGATTTCGCATTCCCGACCGTTTTGTGACGCTCATTACCAAATTCCTGGTATGCTGAAGTTAGGCGAAAGCGCGTCGACCTCGTGTAGCGAACGGCTTTGGTTGCTGCGTAACTAAGCCCTGTCGTATTTAGCGTGCAGACCGGGCCCCTGATGCCGTCGTACCTTTGGAAATGCCATGGTCTGAAGTTTGGGAGACACACACACATATACACGCATATACACGCACACACACATACACGCACATACACACGTAAACATGCACATACGCACACATACACACGCGCATACACACACACACGCGCGTGCACACACACGGTGACGTGCGCATCCTCCAAACTCCAACCACCCCCGCGGCCATGGCCGTCCCTCCTGTCCTCTTCTCTCTCCCTGGCGCCATTTCGCATCGTTTTGTATTTTATTAGTAGAGGTATGGCCTAGCTGTCCCCATGGCCATCCCATCCCCATCCGCCATCACCGCCCTGACCGCCTCCTTTCCCCATGGCCTTTGGACACCCGGTCGAACTCATACACCTACAGGTACTCGGAGGTCAGCAAGTACGACTTCAACGACCCAGGGGTAAGAGAGCTACCCTGATACAGGCCTTAGCGGTTGGGGTAGTTTAATCCGTCAGGGTTAAGCTTTGCAGAACGATTACTACTCTTGTGTGCAATGCACGTACACTACGTCCTTATGGGTGGGGTGAAGAGCCCTCCCACAACGCAACTCCCACATACTCCCACATACACACACATACACACACATACACACACATACACACACATACACACACATACACACACATACACACATACACACACATACACACACATACACACACATACACACACATACACATACATACACACACATACACACACATACACACACATACACATACATACACACACATCGCGCCCTCGGACGAGCAGGAGGGGATAGTGGCCCTTCACGCGCCTCTCTTCCCGCTAGGGGGGCAGTGCTTCGGGAGTCGTTCCCGCTGGCGGGTACGGTTAAGTGCCGCCCCTGGCCAGCCCCAGGCCCGGATCGATGTGTAACAGAAACACGCGCATACACACGCACAAACACACGCACACACTCCTACGCACATACACAAACGTTGGGTATGGTAGGATTTCGCCCCGCTAGCGGCTACGGAGCTTTCTTAAGCCCCCAGGGTCACATACTGGGGACCAAAACGCTGCCGGTGGGGAAAACCTTGTCAGGCTGTAACCACCTTAACGGACGCCTCGGCCCAGCCCAGACCGCCAAAGAAGCTCGGATTCCTGACTGTCCAAGCTTGTAATAGCTGGCCTCGCTGAAAAGACCTTTCAAGATGCTAGTGTGGCGCGCCTTAGCGAGTATTTGTAGATTTCATGTGTGCCGTACTATGTACCAGCTACTACAAAGCTAAATACACACAAGGCACAATAGGATCGATGTCCACTACGATAGGTGCCCCACGCGTTGCTTCATAATTCCCTTCGTTTCATGCGTCACGGTCATCCGCTCGTGTCTGGCTGTACTTGTTAGTTCCTACCCTGCGCTCATTCCCTTCCTCCCTCCCATGTCGCTACCTGCCTCCCTACCTCCCTACCTGCCTCCCTCCCTCCCTACCTACCTGCCTGTCGTCACCCGTGATACCTTCTACCGTAGTTCTCTTCGGCCACGGGCCAGTTCACTCAGCTCGTGTGGGCACGGACCACCCTTGTGGGCTGCGCCATCGGTGTGTGCCCCAACGGGGTGTCGTACCTGGGCGGCCAGTGGTTCGGCAAGCTGTACGTCTGTATGTATTGGCTGCCAGGTACGACAGGAGTGTCGTGTCGTGGTATCGAAGCTGCCCAGTGCCCAGTGCCTAGTGCAGTCATGTAGCGCCACCGACGGTCCGGTCCTCTGTAACGACCTGCTGTAACCACATTCACTCATTTATAATGTGTTAGGTAAGGAGCCTATGGGCGGGTCTTCCCCCATTTGTGCGGAACTTGTAGCTTTTAACAAGCTCGGTACAAGCCTAAAACTTACCAAGGTGGTCTATGTGGGCGAGCACGACGCCTCTGCCTGTGCTGTGCCTGTGCTGTGCCTGAGCCTCTGCCTGTGCTGTGCCTGTGCTGTGCCTGAGCCTCTGCCTGTGCCAATGCTGCCAGGAGAGCCAATGACGGGCCTCGAGCCCACCGCTCTACGGCTCATCACACACCGCTGCTGCTCTCTGCCCTTTTGATCTCTCCGTGGTGATCCTCCCTTGCTGTATATGTGCGCATGTGTGTGTGTGTCGTATCCTGGGTGACGTATCACGGGATCTGACATCCGCCGATCGGTACTTTTCTAAAGTCGTGATATGTATGTACGTCCGTGTCCTCCGCTACCGCGCCCGTCGAAATTCCCAACGTATCATGCTCCCTTGTTTTCTTTGCGGACAGGTAATTACGCTGGTCAGTTCGGGGACAACGTACTGCCCAAAGTCACAGGACGCACGCTGCGGGTCGTGCAGCAGGGGCCGGAGTTGTAAGTCGTGCCAAGGCAGTCGAAGGAAGCCGCAGCGAGGGAAATAGATAGCAGCATCACTTTTTTCGGCTCTGTTGTGCCGAATAGTAATATATAGGGCTGTTGTACTCGACAGGTGGCCGAGTCGGTTGAGGTGGCTGGACCCGACTCCTGGGACAAATCCCCCTTCACCCCTCGCGGTGAAGATTGTCGTCTTCACCCGCTACGTCTCCGGTGTTCGGTTGGATAACGTCCGTTTCCCCATCTCTGAAAGCTGCCTGCGTGAAGGCTGGATGAATGTCCGCTGGATGGAATGTTGTGGTGCTTTCGGTTGCTGGTAGTTGTTAGTTCGGCTGTTGGTGTAGCTGTTACTGCCATACTAATGGCAGTAACCACATCATTGAAACGCGCGGTTGCGGCGGCAGCATACATCCTGTGTATGTGTAGTGTGTGGGGTGGGTGGGTGGGTGGGTGGTTACAGTGGGCTCCGGACTCACGAAGACATTGCGTTGCTCTCCATGCGTGTGTGCGTGCTTAGAGAAATTACGGCAGAAGGCAGATAGATAGGTGCATCGCACCAGCTAAAACACTCCTGTAGGCTGAAACCACAGCAACTGCAACCGCAACCGCAACCGCCACAACGATAACTAACCACGACGAAATGCGGCACCAAGGTGCCCATGCCGGATGAGCAATTGATTCTGTGTCGTTGCCAAAGGCAGGATGGAAGCTTCCCTGTGTCTGCATAGTTTATATTGTCCGTAGTTCGTGCCCTGGTATATTAGACAAGGGTATTAGGGATATTAAATAGGGATCGGCCCTATCTACCCTATATGCCATGGAGCGATCTTGGACGATTATGGACCAAACAGACGTGCAGTGCTTACATACTAGACGGAGAATGTGTGCGTATGTGTATATGATCGTGACTGCTCTTAGGGGGTACAGCCGTAAAAAATTAACATATGCCGATACATGTCTGTACGGGTGGGCGTTACTGTGCGCGTGGACGCCGTGGGTACCATACACACATACATGCATGAATACAAACATAGATCTTAGGGAAACCTGATGGGGTTTACCCCAGCTTTAAATGTGCACGTTGATTAGCACAGAACCAGCTTTTTGAATGTGTGAGCGTTGACAAATAGCTGGGTCGACGTATTAGCTGCGAAAGCCAAACAAGCGAGACAAGCGGCTGCGTACCCACATGCACATACCGCTCATGGAACCATGTGATGAAATGTTTACGTGTGTGTGCTGCTATGAAACTGAGGATGCACGCGCCCGCGCGCGCGTGTGTGTGTATGTGTGTACGTATGTGTGTGTGGGGGGGGGAGGTGCTGTTAAGAATCCGAGCCGATGACAATGGGGCGATATAACCCCCTAAAGCAGGCGCGCCTGGGGTTACCCATACATGCTACATGACAAGAGGTGTCCACGATGCCTTTATGGCTGAAATGAAGTACACGGGCTCAGTTCATATATACATGGGCTGCTGAGTGGGTGGTCGGGACCTGGGGCGGGCGCCAGGGGCGGCGCAAGGAAGCAGTTGCCTGCTAGTGGTTGGGCATTCATATGTTTTAGTCGCTGGATGGACGTTTTTGAGCTTGATATTTGATATTTGTTAGAAAAATTACAGCTTCCGCACGAGTGATAAGGGCAAGGTACGAGCGATGGGTGTGAGTGCAGAGAGGCCGCCTGGGTATCTGATATCACGCCGATACACATGGCAAATTTCGTGGCATCGGTAGCGATTCCGCGTTCAGCTTCACCCTGGGACTTTGACAGGCAGCCGCAACGCTGCAGGCAGTAAAAGTAGTACCTTCCCCCCGTCTGCAACATGATGGGTGATGGTTCCCCGTGAATATGTGTGTTTGTACATGTGTGTTTGAACACCTTGAGTTGCGTTACTCGCCGAAGTGTGCGAATAAGTGCGAGTGAGCTGGGAGTGACCTACGTAAGGCGCGTGCTATTGTTTTGGACCAACATTACCTGGGATTACAAGACGGAGGCCCCGGCAGAGCTCAAGCAAGCGCGTGCGCGTGTGTCGACAAAAGTATATGAATACATGTGTGTCTGTTCCGTGTGTTTGCAAAATTTGTGGCCGTCTGCACTCGAGGAGGCACGCGTTATGAAGCCGGCTCAGGTGAAGCCAGATGGCGCATTTCCAAGTGCGTGGTCTACCGCGTTATTGGAGGTCGCGTGTGCATATGCTTGTGTCCTGGGCGCGTGTGGATATGCGTCTGTGTGGATATGCGTCTGTGTGGATATGCGTCTGTGTGGATATGCGTCTGTGTGGATATGCGTCTGTAAACGTCAAGTTGTTACCCCGGGTAATATCCGCGGTGAAATAGGGTGTGTGATGGCAGGGCCTGGGCGGGTGGGGTTAGGTGTGCGCTCGTATATCAAGTCATCAAGACGCATGGCAAAAACTCTGACCTGTCGAAATGGGGTTCATGCTGTGGGGTCGTGACGGGGTTCGTCCAGGGACGGGGCTGAGGATATCGGAGGGTGTGCGACTGTGTGTAAGGATCTGGTCGCACCGGAGGTCGCATCGGAGAGCTGCACCCCCACTTGGGCTGTTGTCGGATCTTAGATAGGAAACCCCCTCCTCTCCCCGATGGCCTGACGCCTGAGTGATGATGGGGTTTCGCCGCGTGGCGGGGTTTCGGAGCTTACGGACTCATAGGAAGTTTCTGGAGACACGCATATAACGTAATTCATTTCCAGGAAAAGATTGCATGTGTTGTATGTAGTTGCAGGTGCGCATGTGCATATATGTCCTTGCGTCCCTTGCTTTTTCATGGTGAATGTGAGGCTGGACTTTTCTGTCATCAACCCCCTTGCCGTCGTCGACACCTTCACCTCGTTCGCAAGTTTATATACTCTCCGAAACCGGGGAAAATGGGTGCTGAAGGCGGCAATGATAAAAAACTTGCCCAGCCTTGGGACCCTGCCAGTATGCCATGAGAAGTGCGACTGCGGCTCGAATAGGATATGGGCTAAGTCCTATGCATGTAGAGGGGCGCGCGCGCGCGTGTGTGTGTGTGTGTGTATTACCCTACCCCCGATACAGTTGGGGTTGGAGGCGTGGGGAGTGCACGGTGGTGTGTTGTGCACCTTAAAGCTCGGGGAGCTCGGTGCGAGCCTCCGTGTCTACACACCGCCAGTACCCCCTGGAATTGGGGCTGGGATGGGGTTGCTGAAGTAGAGGTTGCGGGGGCTTAGGGGAAACTCTCGCAGTTACACAAGCACGGCCACAAGCGCAGGTAGTGTTATGGGCGTCATAAACCAGTGGAAACCCAACCAACCAGCAGCCTGTTCAGGGAATGCTAGGAAAGAAGCGTTACCTTGCAAACACATCGTATTGTTTTAGAAGGAATATAAAAGGTTATATTCGCTTAAGAACTCTCTCTGCGCTTCTGGCATTATTGGTATCCGCCATTTTCCGCTATGGAATCAGACTGGCTGCTGCCTCCTGCCACTTTTTTCACCTTCATAATTATATCAGCACAAAACAAAGGCAGGAAAGAGGAGAGCAGCACCTTGCAAGGCTTTGGCAGTGTCGCACTGTGTTTAAGATGCGAGGCTGCAGCCATCCAACGCAGCCTACTGGAACTGGGTCTTCGCCTGGGCTGGCGCACGGCCTCCATGCTCGCGGCACCTGGGGCGTCGGCTAATGCTCTCTTCTTGCTTGGTGTCGTAGGAGCTGAACTACCATGGCTTCAAAAAACCGAGCGACGCCGTGCAGGCCGACATTCAGAGGGTTGCAAAGCCCATCAGATGTAGACGTAATCAGTCTGTATCGTTGACGCAAGTAAGAGGTTGGGTGCTAACTTACACAGGCGTCAGCACTGAGAACTATTGGCCAGAGGCCCCCGACTGCAAGTAATGCTCTGTAGCTAAATTAAAACAATGAAGCAGAACCCCAAGCAATGCAGTATGCAATCGGCTCTGTCTGTTCGGGACCTCAAAGCCCGAGATCTCCCATGCAGTCCGCGCACCGCACGGGACTCAGCGGACTGCTGTCCTCAATGCGGCGTCGACAATATCTTATATTCCGGTTACATTCCGGTTATTGAATACCCACGCTACTGTACGACGGAATAGTACGGGGTGCGTAATCGCTTGACCTAGGTCCTGTGCTACGTGCAAGCACTGATATGGCCATAGGTAATCTTTATCTGATTTCTCATATTTTGAAAGGAAGTTTGTTGTAGCGCGCCTACCTCCAGTTTGTAAAAGCACAATGGCCTGCGTAGTTTGCGCAGCACAAGCAAGTGTTTACTGTGAGAATGACAAGGCGCTGCTCTGTAAAGATTGCGACGTTCGCATTCACATGAGCAACGCGGTGAGCTGCTCATGGGGTCTTTTTTGCGCAAAGGTTGCCCTCATCCCCACCTCCCGACCAGAGCATGAACTGAAAGAGCCCTCCAACATTTCTTTTACAGGTGGCTGCGCGCCATGTGCGCCGCATTCCATGCGAAGGGGGCTGCTCAAAGGGCGCTTCGCTTTTCTGCCGCTGCGACAACGCCTACATGTGCGAGGCCTGCCATTGCGCTAATCCATTGGCAGCTACTCACGAGACAGAGCCGACTGCTCCGCTGCCGCTTATGGAGCAGGTTTGTTTTGACGTGTTATTGAAAGCTCCAATATTGGCTTCCTGCCGGACACACGCTTTACTGCGCCTGCTCATTTCGGCGCAGGAAAATGCGGTTGCTGAGCAGCCACATGCCACCGGCCCGTGCGAGTCTGTTGCACAGTCGGCCGCTAGCCCAGTGGCTTGGTTCGTCGACGATGAGAAGCCGTCCCTGGGTTCCTTTGAGGAGCCAATCATGCTCTCGCCAGCTGGCAGCGAAGCTGTTGTGCCAGTCATGTCTGCACCTGCGGATGATTTTACTTTTACAGAGCCGGCGACCTTCAAGGAGATAAAGGATAAGCTAGAGTTTGAGGTGCGTCGGCTTTATTTTGCGCTACAATTGTTTACCCTTTTCCTTATGAGTCTCATATCCCCAGACTCTTATGTGCTTTGCGCCGCAGTCTCTGGAGTTTGACAACTCTTGGATGGAGTTGAATTTCGACTTTACGGACATTCTTTCTGACGGTCCTTCAGATGGTAAGCGGTCCTGCTTGTACAAGTGTGGTTTCTGGGAGATTTATTTTGGTCCCGATTCCCGTCTGCAGTGGGCCTTGTGCCAACTTTCGACCTGGAGGGTGTTGACCCCGTCGCGGACGCGACGGTGCCGTCCGTCGCTGAAGAAGTTGTTGTTGCGGAGTCTGATGCCGCAACTGAAATACATCGCAAGCGGACTGCGGAACCGAGCGATGAGGAGCCGGCAGCGAAGGTAGGGTGCCGAAAGTTGTCCAGGATAGGAGCTCCAGCCCTGTGGCCCCAGTTAAAGTCTGGTCTTCGGTTTCGCTGTGCGCCTTGATCCTCGTTCACATTTCCCTGATTCCTTAAGTACTCGGGGTCCTGCATCGCCCAAAGGCTACGCCCCAATGATCAGCTTTACGATTGAGGACGAACTCTTCCCTTTAGGATTCCATGTTAAGGCCTATCTATCTCTTGACCATCGTCATCGCACTACCTCTTGTCATTGACCGAAAGCAGCTCGAGGAATTGATTTTTCTCCTGCTCACGCTACAATCCGCAATCTATGCTGTTGTTCTCTCCTGCAGCTGCCGGCAATTTCGGAGGCTGCCACCACTGCGCTCGGCTTGCATGCGGCCTTCCAGATGACCCAGCCTGCCTCTCTGTTCTTCCAGTCCGCCGTAGCGCAGCCGTCGCTGCTGCCGCCGATGGTGCCGCCGGCGGTCATTTCGCCGCTGGCGACAACGGCGGCGGCACCACCACTGCAACCGCCACCGACGGCGGTGCAGTCAAAGAGCAGCGCTGCCTACAACACAGCCTTGGCAGCTGGTGCTAACCTTACCCGCGAGCAGAGGGTAGCTAGGTACCGGGAGAAGCGCAAGAACCGCAAGTTTGAGAAGACCATTCGTTACGCCTCTCGCAAGGCTTACGCTGAGATCAGGCCTCGTATTAAGGGGCGATTTGCGAAGAAGGAAGAGATTGAAGCGTGGAAGGCTGCGCACGGTGGTGAGGATGCTGTGGTCCCTGAGATTCTCGACGGGGAGTTTTGATGCAGCAGGGCTTCTCGACATGGTTCTCATCGCCCGACCGCGATTATTTTAAAGGATAATCCGCGGATTGGATTGGACGACTCTATCAGTGTCTATGCATGTGGACGAAACCGCGGACGAGACGGGCACTTGGGAGTCTTGTGGCTTCTCCTCCTGGAGTGGTGTTGGATGTTGACGCCTTTTTGACACCTTACTACTTAAGATACCAGCAGGCCGAGTATCACGAGTGATCGGGGGCCGGGAGCTTTCCCCCTCGTGGCATGACAGCCGTTGCCTCGCTTGGGGGCTTGCTCTTCCTGGAGACGTGTTATTACTTTTAGGTTGCAGATTGCACAAATGCGACCAGGCCGAAGACTCAATTGCTCGATTATCATTTTGATTGAAATGATCCAGAATGGGACAGCGGGCAGTGTTTGCGTTGTGCCGCGCCGAGAACGTGCAGTATGATTATGGTCCTGTCCCCTTACTTCGGGTTACTTACAGCTATATATCGGCAGAGACCGCTGGGCCCTACTGTGATGCAGTACAGTACAGTACGATGGTGTGCAGGCCTGCTTAAGAGGCGTTTTTTCGCGTCGGTCGCTCGGCTGTGAAGAGGACTATCGTGTGGAGAGAGGTATGTTTTTGCCGCCTTGGATGTTGATGATGTCAGTGTGCTTGGCGGTGGTGCGATGAATTGTGCGATGGACGAGCGACTGTCTAGAGAGACGAGCGGTATCTTAAGATTGAGATCGCGCAAAGGTGTGAGTGCGCCGATGTTTGTTGAACTCGGAAGGAGGAGATTTTGTAGCGGCTGGATTCTCCAAACAACTACTTTAAAAACGCTTCACTATCTGGGCCTTCAGCGCTGTGCGCGTGCCTGTCCTGGAAGCTTAATCTGTACAAGTTTTGTGTCTGTGTTGCACTGCGCGGTTTTCTGTTGCGCGTTAAACTCCGAGAGAGTGTTATTGGCTTTTGTGGACGTGGTGTAGTGTGAGGGCACAAAAGCAGCAGGGGAGCGCAGTGGAGGCAGCCGGAATGTGTCGCTGCCGGAACGGTGCGGTGCAGCTGGTGGTGCGCAGTGCGCAGTACATGCGGAGTAGAGGATTGCTTGGAGGTTGTGTGAGGTTGTGTTGCTTTACTTCTCCGCAGACGATGCAGAGGTTTCCGGACAGGCCTGGCAGGTAGGCGGGCTTTGTCGAGGATAGATATCGTTAGTGATAGACCTTCCGTATTGTTGTCAAGTGGTTGACGGTTGCGGTCACTGGAGCGATTTGGTGGTTGTGTTGGTTGAGAGGACGTTTCTCAAGCCCGTGCCATCATGCTGGGTCTTTTTGTTAGATCCTGTAGTGTATATCCTACGGTGGGGAATTGTACGGTCTGTTTCTGACTGGACGAGTGTACGGCAGCCATATGTCGTCCGGTACGGCGGCTACATCGCTTTGTTGCTGTTTGGGAATATGAGAACCTTTGCCTCCTCTGCCGTCACTGCTCCCTAGAGAGTTAATCTGGCAGTAGTAGTGTGGCCCCTGAAGCTACTACCTTTCTAGAACCCAAAAATGTGTGTGTTAAATATGTTGGCGACGTCGGCGGCAGTGTATGTTTCGGCAATGTCGCCGGCGCGACGTGCGCAGTGGTTCTGATGGGCGTTGATGGTCGTCACCATGTTTCTATTGCCAGAAGTGTAGTGCTTGTGTGTGTACGTCGCCAGGGCTATCAACTTTTTCAACATTTGCTATTTTCCGATCTGCTCTGAGCGCTTTTTAATGCACAGAAGTGCATGTGCTTGTGTAGTGTGCTTGGGAGCCATTGGCCGCTGCGCTATCGTAAGGCATCTGCCCCGCAGCTGCTTGGCTGGCACGTCATGGGAGGCGGAGAGAGGCGGCGTGTCCCAGCTGGGCGGATCCCATCTGGTCTGATGAGCGGTTCTGTGGGCTCCTGCTATCTTTCTGAGTGTGTTTTGGCTGCAGATGGGGTTCTCCGTTTACCGGTTGCGAAATCCCGAAAAGCCGTGTACCAGACGCCGTTTCCCTCCAGTCCATGAGATGAAATGGATTTAATTATGACTAACTTTTTAAAGGTTTTTTCGTAGTTATAACGAAGCGAGGATGATTGTTTGTGGCGGTTCCAAAAGGGCTGCTCTGTATCAGCTTTTGACAGTTTGGGCGTTGTGGATGCTCCGCTGCTTTGTCGCAGTGGATCGCTTTCTCCAGATCCTTTGCTGTGATGCTTAGGGAAGAAAGCTTCGGAAGCGGAAGTCTGTGAATGGGGTGTTGTGGAGCGTGTAAGAGGGGCTCGTGGTGTTTGCAATTTCTGTCGGGATTCTTTGCATGTCGGAGGACCCCTCCCCCCCCCGAGAGGTGTTGCAGCCTGTAAATTTTTGAGCCATGTCAAAATGTGTGCGGTTTTGAGTATATTGACACGTACACTTGCTTGTGCTGCGATGTGTGTGCTTTGGTTTGCTAATGCGCATGAATATCGTTACTAGACATTTTATGTGGAGGTCTGCGCTGTTGTGGGCTGTTGAGTGTTGGGCGGAAATGTCATCATGGCATCTCCGTGATCTGCAGCTATGGAGGTTTCCACACGGGCTGCCTCGATTTGTATCTGCAAATATATGCCTTCGCTGTGCTCTGCCTCGAGGCCTGCCACCCAAGGATGTGTCTGTTTTGAAGAAGTGCTTTGCTCGATCTTACAAGTCCAGTGACACATCAAGAAGCAGTTTGAAAGGAGGATAAATCCTATTTGGATGCGTCGTGGCTGCGTTTCGTTTATCATAAGGTGAATTGATGGTGTACATGGCCGCTCGGAGATGATATGTGACGAGAGAAGTATTTCGCAGTTTCTTTTGAGATCTTTGATTGGAAGGATCGGAAGGAAACATTTTCGTACGTACAACACTTTTCGCGGCGACAGCAAAAGGACAACAAGGTAAAATTACTTTGCGGCCGCAAGCCATCATACACAACATTCCACATGATGGCTTTTATTTTGATTATGACGGACACGAGAGTTTCTTGGACGCTGCTGTGCATATGTGTCTGTAACATGAATACATGCGAGCGGAGAAAACAGCATATTGCTGTTACCCTTCGCCTTGACCCTATGGTGCCCTTCGGGTGATGGAAACGCTATCATGTTCCTCTTTCACCGATTTCATCGGATTGGGAAAGACTCAATAGCCAGTTTGAAAATTGCCGAAAAACGAGTCAAAACTCGGAAGTAAGAGGGCCTTACCACACACAAATCCTTATAGCGCACGCGGCACAGTTGTGCTTCCTCCTAACATTAGGAGATGCACATTCAGGGGAAACACGTTTATACGTTTCCACGGGATTAGGATTCCCAGATGAGCACGTTTACGACACATGTACGGCGCATTACGAGAAAAGGACCAACGCCAAAATACGGACCCACATAGGCAATCTTATGCACGTTCGTTCACACAGGACCCGTCCGTACACAGAAGTATAAACAAAAGCCCAGCCTCACCCACAATGTCTTTTGCGCATATCAGCGCATTCTCAACTTGTATTTGCAACTTTCCCACTTGTTCCACGTTGTTTGTTTTTATAAATGTCATGCAGGGTGGAGGACGCTATTACACACAGGACTTCACAGACGTTGGTCACAGTAGGGTTTGGTAAGTAGGGTTTGGTGTCTGCGCCGTCCAATAGGTGCGAAAGGTCCCCGGGTAACCTTTTAAGAACTCCAAAAATACTCCAAAAAAATGAATACAATTCTAGGGGGGCACGAGACTAAACGTAAAACGCCACATACATCGTACATTCGTATTACTAGCAACATATGGAGCTAAGCTAACCCGACCGTTCTGTATTGTACGAGCGTATGTTTGTATGTATGAATGTATGTATTCAAACTTACCTAGCCCATCTGTGTCTCCGTTTGCTCGCAATAAGTAACTTGGCATAAACTTTTTCTTTCGTTCGTTTGGGGTTTTGGCATTTGGCATATTAACTACTCCCCTCCGTCATGGACAGACAGGTAGACAGACTGATCGACAGACTGACAGACTGCCACGGCCAATTACACTCGTCCTGCTCACCAACGTGCACTCTGGTTACAATAAATATATATTCATGTCCATCCTTCACTTCACAACGTCATGCAAAAACCAAAGCCCCAAATCTACTACCTACTTAGCACACGGTATTTAGCGAATAGACTCATCAGCACATCAATACATTAACTTGTCACTGCGAGCCAACGACATCGCCGGCTGCGCGGCTGCCAGCTCTGGGTGGACGTGCCGTACAATCTTTAACCGACCGCCAGGTACGGATCTTGCCGGACCCTGTACGAGCATAGCAGGGGTGACTTCCTCGGGCCGTACGGCAATTATGTATGTCTCGGAGGGCTCCTGCATCCGCGGCATCCGCGGGGTGGAATCTTTCAGCAAATTAAAAAAATTGAACGCAACGGACAGCTGGGAAGGGAATTGGGCACATAATCGAAAACAAGAATCTTTGATGCAGAAATGAGGATACGGAGAAGACGGGAGCAATTCGCGACATTAGACATCCCGCCCAATCCGAGGGACTATTTCCCAGATGCTTTCCACTACTACTGTCAAAACTGCTGCTTTAGCTGCTACAGCTGCTGCTACCCATCCACCACACACCCACAATCCGCTCCGCTATTTCCAGTCGAACATTTTCTACTTCCACTTCACGTCCTCCCCCTCCTCCCCCCTCCACCTTGAGCAGCTCAGCCGCCGTCCGCACCAGGTAGCTCAGGGCCCGGTGGACCGCATCGGGGTCCCGGGGCCAGGTCCCTCCCTGGACCTGAGGGGTTTTAGCGTGGCGGGGGGTTGGGGTTGGGGGCCCGGGCGGGGGGGGGCCCAGCGGGAAAGAAATTATAGAGGGATTAGGAGTGGAGTGGATACGGAGGGAGGGAGGGAGAGCATCATCATGTCATGTGCATCAAACGCAACGCCCCAACCGGCGACGTCCGAAGCACCCAATGCCGGAGCCCCTGTGGGGAGGGGGCCGGGGGAGGACGAAGGGGAAAACCCTGTCTTGTACGGCTTGTACGGCATACCGGGGGGTTGCAGTCCCAAACACCTCGGTCAAGGTCCCGTAGAGCTTAGGGCTCTTCTTCCCCTTCTTAGCCGCCGCCTCTGGACCCCAACCCTAGCTTTCAGGGGCGCAACCCCCCCATCGCCCCATGTATTGAGGAGTTTGTAACCCTTGCGACTTAGCAGAATATCTGCCCGCGCCCTCGTCCTTCTCCCCCGCCACCCATATCTTCCCCTCTCCCCGTCCCCACCCACACGTAACCCGCCCCAACCCGCCCCAACCCTCGGCACCTGCAGCGGCACCGCCACCAAATCGAGGTCATGTCGTACGCTGATGTCCATGACGGCACTCAAAGGGGCCGCGTCGTACGTCAGCGGCGGCGGCCGTTGCGGCGGAGCATCGATTGCAGATCCGCCGCTGCTGCTACCCTTACCAGCTCCGCCGCCGCCACCGCTGCTGCTGCTGCTGAGGCTGCTAAGGCTACAGCCGTTGCTGCTACAGCAGCAGCTGTTACTGCATGCGGTCATGGCGTCAGCGGCGGGTGCTGCGGGGGGATGCCATAAGGCCCCGCTGTCAACGTCAAACGCCGCCAGCAGTACGACACGCTCTCGGGAACCACGGGGCTCCAAAACCAACGCGGTCACAGCACCCGACGCAAGACAGTCCTCGTGGGCGATACCAGACAACACGCTTCGGGCAGCGGAATGCAACCAATCAAAACCGCTACTGCCGCCACTGCTGCCGCCGCTACTGCCGCCGCTGAACAGCTTCATCGGAGCGGCCGCCTCCGGTTGTTGCAGTTGCGGCTGTTGGGTTAGTTGCCGCTGCTTCCACGCGCGCGCGGCGTCAGGGCTGGGGTGCAGCAGTGTGGGGCGGGTGATGCGGTTCTGACGCGGCCGCCCAGTCACCCGCATGTGGCCCCAGGGGCAGTGGCGGCAGCGGTTGGCGCAGCAGTACCCGCGCTTAGCCAGCGCGAGTTGCGTGAAGACCTTCGGAGATTATAAAGGGGAGGGAAGGGAAACGGAAAATATGTCGACCTAATGCGATAGAGGGACATTATGAAGGAAGGATGGATTGAACCCTAAGTCTAAGCAGCAGGGCTCGACATTCCATATAATATCCCGGGGCTGTCAACTATGCCGCATGTACGGGCGTACGACGTACGTACCATATAACCTGTTTCTGGGTCGTCGTACGATGTTTTACCGCTCTCGCAGGCTGTAGCGTGCAGATCCTCAATGTCAGCCGGCAGGTGCGGCGCAGTGGCCCAAGGACTGCATGTAGCGACCCATGGGTCGCTCGTCGCGCGATGAAGAGGAAGATCACCGTAGCCGTTGTCATTGCCGCCGCCGTCGCCGCCGTCGTCGCCGCAGCGACAGGCCCTACCATCCAAGCCGCCAACACCATTCCAGGGCGACGCAGCGGCGACATCGTCAGCAATACCCGAGGGGGCACCGGGGGCGGTTGTGTCGAGGGGGGTGGCGGGGGGCTGCGGGGAGGTGGCGGCGGCGGCAGCCCCGGGTAGGCTGGCGGCGCTGTCCAACGGCCGTAGCCGCCCTGCAGCGGACCTGGGGGCGCCCGCGGGGGCATCCGATGGCGCTACCTGCTGAGGCACATGCATTACTCCGGGGGGGCCGGCGGCGGCGGCGGCGGCGGCGGCGGCCCGCGGTGTTGCTGTTGGTCCGGCGGCCCCGGCAATAGTAGCTGAGCTGTACGGCGCAAACACCGGTGCGGGGCGGAGGGTGGCACACATATAATAATAGATAGGTATATATATGCAGGTATACATATATATAATCCAGTCAATACTTGCCTTATATATACTTAAATATTTAAGGCAAGTATGGACTGGACAACCTACGCCTGCAGCTATTTATCGCAAATTCTCGAACGCCAAGAACGGCCGCATCATCGCACAAAAGAGAGGGAAATGAAGGGTCGGGGGAAGAAGTTCATTCACAGCTTGCACACGTGCATACATCCACAACCAAAGAGTACGGAGCTACCGACGACAGGTTTTTGTGTGCCAGTCAGGTGCCGCCGCCGGCGGGCCCCAGCCAGTGCCGCTAGTGCCCCCCAAACCCCGGGCGCACGTGCACACGCCACGCCGCGACACGGCGTCCCCCTGTGGCCCCAAATACAGCCCCAGGCGCAGGCGATTACAATTAGAATTTTACACCTCACGCTGCTCCCTCCATTAGTCTGTCTGTCTGTCTGTCTGTGTGTGTGTCTATCGTTGGTCCCCTTTGTAAGGTGGGGGGGATACGCCTTCCTAGGACAGGCGACTTCCTACGATAAGAACGCTCATCGTCCCAACTGCCCATAACCAACCAACACATACAACAACATTATTACGCCGACACAACGCTTTCTCCACCTGGGCGGATGATGTCGTTTGAGGTCAGCAATCGCAAACACAACCCCCAACCTCCAATACGCGGAACCGTCGTCGGTGCCACCGCCAACGGTCCCAACAACCGCTTTACACAGTGTACGACACTTACGAAAACGATTCGCAAAGAATGTCGTAAAGAGTCCCCGATCGCCAACTCCATATCATCCATCATCACCATCATCACCACAACGACCATAACCACGCTAGCAATATCAACGACCATAACCATAACAGATGCAACCAACTGCTGAATAAATGTCGGTACGGCGGGCTAGCTGCGCCACGTCAGCTAGGGTTTACACACAGCATCACCATAGCCACGAAGAGCAAACAGACGTTCCAAGAGGACGCAAACAAAACATGTCACATACATACATGCATACATGCATACGTACGAACAAAACAGCCAAAGAGACGAAAACTAAGGTCGAAGGGCAAGACTACAGACTGACCGAACCGACCGAATCTGTTTTTATTTATTGACGGTTTCCTAAACAGGACTGTCGTGGCACAGCGTCTCCTAATCAGGCTTCTCGGCTCCTCCGTGGCCACCGACAATATCCACGTCCACATCCACATCCACAATCATTGCCGCTGCCGCTGCCTGCGCCGTACATCTAAGTAAAACCCTACACCCCCACATCCCGCGGGAACGCATGTGACCAACGCCGCCCCAATTTTGAGCCATTAACCCCCTTCCCGATTTCCGCCGTCTGACAATCTAATAAAAGATCTCATAGAAGATCTGCCGTACATATGTCGTACCTCTCCCCCACTCTCTGCCCTTCCCACTTCCCCCGGACCCACAACTCCGGCGCCACACACGCACGGCCACGAAAAAACCTTCCCTCTCCTCCTCCTCCTCTCGCCCCACATCGGTATGCATAACACGTAACTTACAACAGCACCGTCGCCTCCTCCTCTCCTGCCGTCGCTGCCGCAACCTTCGCCTCCGTTTCAGCAGCACCCGCACACTCCCGTCCAGCTCTGCCCGCCGCCGCCGCCGCTTCCGCCGCAGCTGGGGCCCCAGACGCCGCCGTCACCTTTTTCCCCCACCACTCCCAGGGAAAGTCAAGCGGCATGAGGTCATCCCGGTTTGCCAGCAGCCCCACCAGCCACTCCAGCGCCTCCACCAGCCGCGGCCCGGGTCGGTTGAAGTGCTGGTTGCCGTCCACCAGCGCCACACGGCCGCCGCGGACCGCTCGGAGGCCGCGCCTGGGGAACGGAGAACGGCCGGGGCGTAGAAAGGGAACACGTTTTTATATAAGAAACAATAAACATTTATGAATTTAAACTCAAATTCAGGGTTTTGTGTTTGTTGATTGGCGACTGACTTGTTGTAGTAGCTACCCCTCCCCCCAGTGGACCCCGGGGTTACCAAGGGGGTTAAAACACAATGCACGATGTGTAGCACGAACACGAACACGAACACGAGGTGAAAGCAATCAAAGAGCAGCTGATGGGTGGGAGCTGCTTATGCTCCGTATGGGGTTAGCAGGGTGCAGGTGCAGGTGGACAGGTGCAGGTGGACAGGTGCAGGTGCAACCGTCGACTGGGGGACAGATGGGACGAGGAGGAGGACGGGACCGCGGGCAGGCAACATTCTTGCAACAGCGTCGATTCAAATGGCTGGTGTGTAATGTATGTATGTATGTATGTATGTATGTATGTATGTATGTGAGGGCATCGCAGTTCTCACTCACCACCACTGCTTCTCCTCCAGCGCCGCCATCTCCTTCCGCGTGGATTTCAAATCCAGACCGCAAGGTGCAATAATAATGAGATCCGGATCCATATCAGTCACCTCCGTTGGATCAATCTGTTTGGACGGCAGTGCGCCGCCGCCACGATCGGGCCTGTACGTACGCAACCGTGAAAATCAAGCTCAGTCAGTTGGCGGTTGACGGTTACGCCGCGAATGACATTCTAATCCTGGATTGCCTTGCAGATATGGTTTTAATTTTTAAATGCAGCTAGCTAAGGGAAAATGACGTCCGAGAGAGAGCCATGCACGAGATTCGAACCCGGCGAAGGGTGACCGACCACTAACCTGCTTTACTTTAGCTTTCTGTACCTGGCTTCGTCCTCCCAACCTCCCCTATCGCTCCTACACAAGACAATATTTACCAACTCGCCGTAACCGCATTCACACGTAAACCAAAAACCAAAATAATAACAATTTCCACACACAAACACTCCCTGTCATCCATTTAGGGTTTCACATTACGGTGAATTTGGGTGAAAAAACAAAGGGATAGAGGGGGCAGTTCGTGAGGAGTACTGGAGACGATTTAGGGGAAGGGGAGGAAATGCTTGCAAGCCGGGAAGGAACCAACTGCCTGCATCACATCCAATGCCTCTTAACTGCACTCTTCTCTTTCATGACCCCCCCCCAACACGCGCATCCACACACATACGCGCACATACATACATACACACACGCACAAAAACTGCAGAAGGAGCTCTATCCAAATCAACGCGAAAACGACGCGACTGCATCTCACACACATGAAACACATATTCCCAAAACGAGCCTGAAGGGGAAGCTGGGCGCTCTTAGGGAGGTTGCTGGGAGACTCGTTTCTGGGCTGGTGCGCTGATGCCACGCTCTGCCCACTCTTCAATAGGACGGGTGTTGAGGAGATGGGTTTCGGAGGGCGATTATGGCAGGCCCACGAGTTGCCGTACTACTGCATTACCTTGGCGGGTTTATCGGGCACACGCCACCCGCCATGTGAACCATCTGGGGGGTCCAATGGCCCCCGGGGAACAGCGGATCCGTCCATTCCAGGAACACAACCTTAAAGGGCATTTAAAACAATTGAGGGGGGGAGATGGGGAGAAGGGCGAAATGGGTTTTGGTGTAGGGCAACACGACAAATGGGATGTAGAACAAAGAAGAGAATAATGCATTTAAACAGGGGAAGTGTGTAACATGTGTGTGCGTGTGTGTGTGTGTGTGCGTGTGCGTGTGTGTGCGTGTGTGTGTGTGTGTATGTGTGTGCGTGTGTGTGTGTGTGTATGTGTATGTGTGTATGTAAACGGGATGTAACGATGAAAAACACGGTTTCCATTCTTAGGAATGTATCTTCTATCCCAATTATTAAGCTGGCACGCCCAAGCACGTACGCATATATATATATATAGAAAGAGAGAGAGAGAGAGAGAGAGAGAGAGAGAGAGAGAGAGACTGACGCCGCACAGACTACTGACACACCCGAGGCGGGTCCGGCGGCCCTGCGCCAGGCCAGCGGGGCGCGGCGGCGGCGGCGGCGGCGGCGGCCGCCTGCAGCTCCCCTACCCGGGCAACGGCTCGGTCTACTCGCTCTTGCAGCGCCGCCGCCGCCGCCTCCCCGCTCTGTGCCAGGCCCAGCTCGGTGCCGAGTCGGCGTACGTCGGATATGACGTCTTGAAGGCTCATGGGATTGGTGTCAATGATGCGAGGAGGGGGAAAGATCTTTGTGGTGGCCTTTCTCACGATGTCAAGATCCACGGCGCACACGGAGCACAGGGACTGCGTCACGATGGCATCTGGACGGAGCTGCGCCAGGCGTTCCGAGTCAAGCCAGTAGAGACCCTGGCCGCTGCTGAGGGACTCTGTGACGGCATCATGCATCTGGGCAGAGTTCTCAAACTTGTTGTACGCGCCGGTCAACGCAGGGACGTTTTCGCGGACGGCCTCCGGCCAATCGCACTCGTGGCTGCGCCCGACGATTTCCGCGCCAATTAAAGCAAGAATTTCTGTTGCTGATGGAAGCAATGATACCACTCGCATCCGACCCTTTGCGGCTTTTTGTTCGGCGGCCGACATAGCTCCTCGGATGGATCTTTACTTATAAATGTCCCGCTGGACGGCCAGCAAAGCAAGGGCAAACTGCAGTGCTATATTCTACTGTTACAGAAGATACTTTCAAAGCTCAATCACTATGCCGAGCAAAGTCGCTTATTAATACTCCTTCCACGGATTGCCATAGATCGTTTCTTAAAGGGGAGCCGAGATTCAGGAGCAAGAATTCAGGACTCGCTTTGAAGAGAAGATATCTTCAGAATGTTGGAGGCGTTCATGTGTGGACGATATGGCACATGAGCGCCAGGCGGTTAAGCAACGAACAACCAAACTCCGGCGCCCGGGCAGGCACGGCCCAGCAAGCGACATGCTTTCCTGGAAATGGGTTTGTGCTCGTGGATTATCGCGTCATTGACTATTTCGGATCCCTTAAAAGCGACGAAGGATAGTGGGTTAGTGGCCTTCCTATCCAGCATTTTGTGATTTGTGACGACCTCAACTGTATTTGGTCAGTTCGTTGTCTTTTTCCTTTAGCCTGTAGGCTTACAAATCCTTGGGTTGCGTGACAAGATGGCGGCTGTTGAGGAGGATACAGCCCAAAAGCAACGTTATTCGCCTGAGGAGGTGTTGAAGCAACTGAGCGATATACCTGAAGACAAGAGAACGTTCTCGGCTACGAAATTCCTTCAGGCCCTAACTTGCCAGCGCGAGACTATCGTGGCGATGAATGCATTGGGGCAGAATCCGGATAACGTGAGCCTGCAACAACTGAACCAGGTCATCCTGCTGTTCTTGAAGAACGTATACAATTTGGTAGGTACGGACATGGTTTAGAAGGATGACTGATTTTAAAGTCAAAAGCCGTCGCTCCACAGGCTTTGGTCCTTTGAAATGCAATCCCCCACCCGCCCGTAAGTCCTGCGAATCATTCCCGCAAGAGGTGAGAGCAGCAGCACCGCAAATCCTCTGCCACACACGATTGTCCCGTGTCCATGCGCCTCCCCGCACCTGCACCCTTTTCCGTCCCCGGCCCCCACCCCCACCTCCCCACACACCGCCAATCTCTTATTCTTCGGAGGATCTCCAAACCCACCTCAACGCCTTAATCTCCCCGCACTCCCACGCCATAACGTCCGTAAAACGATGACCGAATCCACCCGTACATCCGCACAAACACACAGGTTTCCGGCCTTCCTGGAGCCCTCATGTTCGACGCGCTTGAAGACCTCGTAGCCCGCAGGGGCGTCATGGCGCCATTCATCAACGGCATGGACAAGGTAACAGTAACGACAGTTGACCGTTGGCGGTTGAAGAGTACAACACTGATAGTGGCGTGGCGGGTTGGAGAACAGCAGGCTGCCATGCAAACCGGAGATGGTGGGGTCTTCTCCTACATCCAGACCGGTAACACAACCACCACTACCGCCATTGACCAAATCCATATCTTTTCTCCACCAACAACCTGAAAACCAACAAAACGAACATAATAACGGTCACACCATATCACCGCGGCCACCACCAACAGGCTGACGAGACGGTGGTTCTGGAGCTCGGTCTTCCCTCCAAAGAGGCCCTATGCGACAGCTACGACGAGCTCATTCGCATAGCAGGTGCCGCGGTGGTTTGCTTCTACCACTACACCAACTATCCAGGTGGGTATGTACGGCACTACGGAGGGTTATTGCTACTGCCATAAAACCCGTCCGTCCCCCGGATTCAACTTGTCTCCCCCCCCACCCCACCCCTCCTCCTCCGGGTCTCTCCCCCCCTTCCCTGCCTCCCTCCTGCGATAACTACTACCACTAGAGCGAAGACGATGTGCTGTCCCTTGTTGCTGTCCTGAACTTGTCGTACGCTGTCGTATCTTGTGTGTATCCTTTGTGGTGGCTGGGTGATCCATTGCGCCGGTGAGTCTTGAGCCCACAGAGTGTTGTCTTCCTGGCGTGCATCCCCCCGTCCCGCCCCTCCCCTCCCCGCCACCGCAGCCCACCCCGCCTACTTCCCCTCCGACGATGCCACACTGCTCTTCACCTCACTCGCTCTTCGGAGCTGTCAGGATGGTGGGGCCGCGGAGGCGCTGGGGAAGCAGCTGGCGGAGGCGGGGGGCGGGGTTATGAGTCTTGGGGAGATCCGCTGGCTGATGCATTACGTGAGGGCGCAGGTAAGGGCCGGAGCGCAGGGGAGGGGAGGGGAGGGGGGGAAACGGGGTTTCGGGGGGAAGAAAATGGAACCCTCGTGTCGTGAGTTCCGGGGCCCCTGCGGGGGGGGAGCTGAAGGGGGCTGAAAGGGGGGGGAGACTGAGGGAAAAGATTGGGGAAGAGGGGAGGGAAGGAAGGTGTGGAGCGCGTGTGTGTGGGTTTGGAGGTGGGGTGATGACACATCGCGATTTTTACAATTCACGGCGGAGGGGGAAAGGGAGAAGGCCTGGGTTTATCCGTGTCTTTTTCCCTCGGACTGGACGTGTCTCGTGTTTATGTCCCTCCTTCCCCTCGTGATTATCAAGCACCAACCACCCGTTCTCCACCCGCCAACCGACTAACTGACAACTTTGTTTCTTCGCTCGACGGACCCACTAACCGACGAATGGCTGGGATCCTCAATCCAACCCACCAACCGACAACTTACCAACCGACTAACCGACAGCTCTCCGGGCTGGGAGGTGCGGTGTTCCTGAGCATTGGTGATCGGGAGAGTTACAAGCAGCAGCTAGTGGCGCAACAGGCGGATTTCCTGGGCCTTATCAAGGCTGTTCCTGAAAACCCGGCGGTGAGCGGTTTTATGGCGGTTTAAGGGTTTTATATAAGCGTTTTAATATGGGTGAGTGGGGTCCTGTTGGAGCTCTGTTGTCGCCCTTCGCAATCCCTCGTGCCGCTTTAAATGGTGATGGCTCTTGACTCTTGCGCGTTCTCGGGGTTTTCCCTCCTATGTCGTACAGGGCTACAGCTACTATGTTCGTACTTGTCTGCAGTTTCAGCAGATGAGTGCGGCTGGGCTGTTCGCCGCCAAGGGCTCCATCGTGGCCGCCAAGCACCGAGCGACCTTCTACGTGGCGCAGCTGGCGGCGCAGCGCGCCATTGCGCTGGCGTTCGGTGGTGGTGGTGGTGGTGCAGCCGCCGGGGCGGGGGGTGCAGGGGAGGTATCGGCGGCGGCAAAGGCGGCGGTAGCAAAGGCGGCAGCGGCGGCTGCTGCCGCTGACGGTGGCTACGCCGCTGCTGCTGCCGCGCCGGCGGCGGCGGCGGCTGCTGCCCTCGTCCGCGTCCGCGAGCTGCGAGCTCTGATGGCGGAGGCGCGTGAAGGCCTGGATACGGAGCTTTCTCAGCTGCCGGAGGTATACAGCGAGTTGATTGCGTTGGATCCTGTGGATTCCAAGCTTTTGGACGAGCAGCTGGGCCCTATGGTGCAGGGCGAGGTGCCGGACGAGGGGGAGGTTCTGGCCCTAGTCGACCAGCTCTACCCCACACGGCCGCCAGCTGCACTGCCTCGGGGTGCTGTGGCGATTGCCAAGCCGTGAAGGGGCTGCTGCTCCTCCCTCTGTGTGTGTTCGTCTGTGTGTGCATCTGTGATGTGCTTTCCGATTCTTCTGGTGATTTGCGGTAGTCATAGTGTGTGCTGCTGATGCTGCGTGCCGTACTGAGTTGCTGACGGCTGTGGTTCTATTCGTGTTGTGCTGTGCTGTGATTGTGTCGCTGGGGTTGACGTCAATGCGGGCATGGTTACGTGTGGTGTACGAGTTTCTGAAGAGAATGTTCGATCAGGAAACACATCACGTAGGAATGACGCGTGAGGGAAAGACAGGGGGGGGCCGGGCAGGGGCACGGCGATGGATGATGCCAAAGCTCCAACGCGCCAAAGCCCAAAGCAGCGATGCGGCGCAGCAAACACGCTGTCGGCTCCAGATGAGAGTGGTGGTGAAAGGGCTCCACAGCACAGATACAGTCGTAAGGTGACAGCATACACGGTGCGTGCCGTGATGCGACGTCATGATACACATACAGACAGGCAGACAGACAAGCAGGCAGAGGCGGACGGACAGAGAGACAGACAGACATACATACATACAGACAGACAGACATCTTCGTCAGGATGTTTTACAACGGCTGTACGGCTCCAGACGTCGTCATCTCTCGTGTGCTGAAGGAACCGTTTGTCCTCCGTGCATCAAACAAAGCGTTGGTTGTAATTTTGTTGTATTTCAGAGGGTTGGTTTGCTAATAGTTGGGAGGTTGACAGTTTACGTGAATGGATTATTCGTACAGTCTTGCTTGTAGTATGCATAGAAGGCCTCCTGGCTGGTGGGTCCTTTCCGTGTTACTGACCTTCTTGTGCTGATTGACCACTATATGCCAGCACACATTATATGCATATACACACCATTGAGGCTGGCAGGTGGCTGGCGGAGGTTAAGGCCTGACTTCTGCTCCCGAAGGTCCCGGGTTCAAGTCCGCCTGCCGACCTCTCGATTCATGAGAGGTGTTGATACGGGAGGTGGCCACCCATCTTATGGACGGTGTAGGACGTGATAATAGCAGCTCTTGAGCTGACCAGGAACTATGTTGTGGCGCCGTTGATTCGCTAGATGTGGTTGGATGCTGGTGGTGAGTTGCTGAACCCAACGAATACATTCTGAAGTCGGATGGGGTGAACGGATTGGGGTGCCCCTCTAGCAGGGGAGAGTAGGGAACTGCCTCGTGAAAGGGGGCCGCTGGTGAAGCTTAACCACCCTGTAACAACATCAACATTTTATCCATACACATGCATGCATGCATACATACATACGGACAGACAGACAGACAGACATGCATGACGTCTATACAGATTTTCGCAGTACGACACTTACAATAGATCCAAAACTGTCATGGGAAACAATTGACTACAATCCAGGTTAAGGTCAAGTATCAAGCCGGTGGTCGGGGCCAGGGGCAGGGTTGGGCCTGTAGCCCCGGTGCCGGGCCGACGGCCCAGGATTTTAAGGAGAACGTCCTCAGACGTCCTCAAATAGGATCAAAACTAGAATCCCGAAGATTTTAATTCCAATTCCTAAAGATACGCTGTCTTGTGATTAGGAGGGTCATTCAGCTCTTCCTATTTCTCAAGACGACTATTGTTATGGTACACGTTTTGGACGTGAAGGCTGTTCAGGCATGGAGGGCAGAACGCAAGCAAGGGAACATGTATTGGTAAGGCCGGAACCAATAGCAAGTTGCAGTTATAAAGTTTTGTATAAGTTATTAAAGCTGTTTGGTTTCATAATATGGGCGGATGACGGCCTTTTTGTGGTAGCAACGCTAGCGCCCGCCTCTTCCGGCGGAAATTGTTATGCGCACCAGTGGTAACTTACAATTTAATTCCAAAACACATACAATTCAATAACGTTTTGGGTAGGTTTTGTACCTTTGACTGCAAGGAAATGGCTGCGCCGTCCTTTCTTGATAAGGTACGGAATTCAATACGGCCGGGCCAGACACATTTCCTGAATTTCGTCTTATCACAACAGGTTTCTTCTGACTTAAAAGACGGGCATTCTACAGCTTCTAGTTAGCGCAATCTTTTTGGTAAATCGCTGAAGCTGACACAGACGGGCAGCATTGCTTAAACGTCAGCGCGTGATCCGTACTCACTACTAACTTATTGTGGGGAAGGCCATTGCGTCTGCGACCACACTCCCGCGGTACCCAAACCCTTCAAAGACAACTCCGACCAGCCCCAACACACACCGCGGAGCGGTCTCTCCCCCCCCCACATACTTCCCAGGTGGTACCCTGGGTCCTCTCGCTCACCAGCCCCTCCTCCCCTTGGCCCTTGTGACATCTGCCAGGCGTTCTTGCTGCACAGGCCGGTATTTCAGAAAACAATTAAAGTACATCAGATGAATGCAGAGGCGCAGCTTGCCCTCCTTTCCCACCACTCGCAGGCCGTTGATAAGCGTGGGTGTAGTGCATTAGCTGGGCATTCCAGTATCCCACCGCAGAGAGCCGTGCTTAACTCGGCTGTAACGACGCCGCTGTGGGAACTGCACTGCATGCGGCCGGTGACCTGCCATTATTATTTCCGGGTTGCAGTCCAGCATCGCGACCTGCAGCAACTCCTGCACAATAGCTAGCTTGCGGTCCCGCTCAGGCACTATTTGTTGTCCTGGGTGTTCGCACGACACCCACTCCAGCTGGAGCCCTCCCTCCAGGTGGCCTAGCCAACGTCTCTGTCCGTGAGCGGGCATCTTCTTTAGCTGCCTGGAAGACCTCTCACCACACTGCTACATGTGTAAGTAGCTTTCCTGGCTGGCAGTCCTCGGGTCCGGAAGCGAAAGACGATCTCTTCTACAACTCTTTCTCATTCTGCTGATCTACTGCGTCATGTCGCCCTAGAGGCTGTAGCCTCTGTCCGGCCTCCTGGAGCAGCTGTATGCCTCGCTGCACGCTTCCTTGGGTGTCCCCGCTCCCCTTGCTGGTGTTCGTCCTGCGACGCCGGGTTCTCCCCTTTCTGCTCCTCACTCACCCACTTGCTGCCTTCACAAGGGTCATCGTTTCACGACAGCCGTTCGTCCAGATCAGCTCCCTCCTCCTCCCGGGTGTCCGTGTGGTGGCCAGTGCTAGATCCTCCGGCTCCTTCCCCCTTCTATCCCCCGCTTGATCGCAGTTAACACAGTAAGCCTGGGCTTCTGGGCTTGGGTCTCCTTGCGCGGCGCCCCGTTGTGGCTAACGAGGGCGTCCGCCCATTGGGCCACCCGTACTGCCTCCGTTGCTGGGTGTTCATACCGGCAGCGCTGCCCAACCTGCACCTTAACACAGGGCCCCTTCCCCGCGTAGCTAGTACACAAGTCAGTGCCATTCACATAGCCCCTGTACACGCTCTCCGTGATCTGCTCCTCCCCCAATTCCTGGTATCCCCGCCGACCCAGCTCCCGGTTTAGAGCCACCACTACGCTGGCAGGCGGGCTCAGCCGCGGTCCATCGCGGCCCCTCACCGTGAGGCGTTCCCGGGTTAACTAGGCCCTGGTAGCCCACACCCACCGGGCTACGACTTGCGCTCCTCTGGTCGTGGAAGCCGGGAACCCCCGATTGCCGCCCTTCCCATGCCGTTCTGCTGCCCACACTCTTCCTGCGCTCAATGCCAACCTCCTCCTAAATTCCTTAGTAGGCTGTGAGCCAGCTGCCATGCGCCCCTGGGAACTTCACGGCCGTGCGCGTGAACAGTACCACGGCCGGCCAGGTTCACTCCCGCAACTCCTTGAACATCGGAGCCTGACATCCACAGCCTGGAGGGCCGCCTCTAACCCGAACACCCGGCATTCGCGGGCCTGCTGCTGTAGCTTGAACTCACTCTTCCCCACTCAGTTCCATGGCACCAGGTATCCAGTAATTTGCCCCGTGAAGTGTCCTTTGAGAAGCGAGTTTGGCTTTTGCCCGATGTACACCCCAACGCGCTGATGTTGCGGCCCTGCAGAATCACTGCAGCACTCACGCAATTCCTTGGCCATCCCCGGGCCCACCTTAGCCAATGCGTCCTCGAGCACCTCGTCCTCCCGCTCTAGCCTAACACGACTGCGGGTTTACCACCCGCATTGCGTGGTGGCTTGGCGCCATTACTCCAACCTGGCCCTCCGGGGCCTCCCACAGCTGGGATGTTGGGACGCGGCCAACGACCTCGTAATGCAGCGCCTCCGGGGCTGCCATGTTGTTTCCTTACGGCGGCCATGTGCCTCTTGGATGGCCTTCTCCCGGACGCCCCGGTTCGCCTGAGGCTGCTCTTTCAGGCCAGTGGCTGCTGCCGGATACCGGGCTCCCGCTCCCGCGTTGGCTAGCTGCGTCTCCCGGGCCTAATCCTCAGCCCAAGCGTCTGACTGCTGCCGTTTATCCTCCCGTCCTTTCCTGGCTTCCGCACCCCAGGGGGGCTCCAT